GGCACAATCCACTCAGACTCGACGAGTAACTCAACTCAGTTATTGCAGGGGCCGGCCCCTACTTAAAATGCTAAAAAAAACATGCATTTTTTATTAAAAAATCTTAATCAAATGGTCTAGAAATACTTCTGTTTTTTTTTTTTTAATCTGTTGACTTTGTATTAAGTGTGGAAGCCACTTCTAATGTTTCTCATATGCTATATTTCAGGAGTTTAATCATGTGTTGATAAACATCAGACGCAACTGTATCTAGTTTCAAGAACAACTTCTAATGTTTTCTCATATGCCATATTTCAAGAGCCCCTGCAGTAATGTGTTGATAAAATCTTGGAAAACACAACTTATACAGGCTAACAACGAGCTCTAGAGTGATTTATCTAATCCAATGAGGAGGCTGAAATTCATATAAGGACAATAATTAAAGATCCTGATCTTGAACAAGTTACTAGATGTATAAAGGCCTAAAAATTAGAACTATCAACCTCATCAAAGTGAGACCTATAAAAAATTCAAAATTTAACTATCTGTGGCACAACAATACTATGAAACTTGTTAGAGATTTACTCTCCTACAAACATTATGTGATGCAAAGATATTTCCAAAAAGGAGTCATAGCATTGTCCGATATTTTTAAGACACATAAAATCACAAATGAACAATTGCTGTAACCAAGACAAGATAATCATTATTGTTGACTTAGAGCATTAAAAGATCTTTGAGGGCAAAAAAAATAGTGATTTCAACGCATCTTTCTCTCACTCTACAATCATTGCTCATTGAAGCATAAAAAATAATTAGGCAGACAGCCCAAATGGGAAATGCATATCAATAAAGAAAAAGCAGCTTAAATGGTTTTCAGCTAGAAAATGGTTGTTCCCCTTAATTTTGTTACATCAAGCTCATAATGCAATTCAGACATTCTAAAAAAGAGGGATGAAGATCAATTTCTAAATGCAAAAGGCAAAAAGAATCAAGAGATATTAAAACTTAAGGAGACTTAAAATCCAGTGTTACCAGCATAACCAGGCATACAAATGTAATAACCTCAATTCAATAAAAGGAAGGGTGACAGGAAGCTTACATCAACATGAAATACAACAATCTCCCCAGTACGAATGGGATCCTTACTCATGCGTAGAAACAATATATCACCCTAGAAAAGAAAGGAAAAGTTATTGAAGAAACAATCCATGCCAAAAGCAATAACCAATGATGAATATTATTGGTGCCATCCTGGAACAAAGAAAATCCCCTTCGACCATCATTTAATAAAAACTAACAAAAGACACCTAGTTCAGAAATACAAGACACTATTCAAAACACAAAGAAACATTGAGTTCGAGATGACTTCCACAATTACAATGATGTACAAGATAACCAAAAATTCTTGAAATTTAGTCCCAGGTAAACTCACTCAGTGGCCAGACAGCATCAGGACAGACTTGAATTAAATAGTCTCAATTCCCATTCTAATGCCATCTTAATAGTCTCAACTCCCAATTTAACACCATTCTAACCATGACGTGTCATGTGGATTACTACAAAAATCAGAGCCTTTTCCTAACTATTTGGGGGCCGCTAATTCTACCTTCTAAGGTTCAAATAAAAACTTAAAGATAATACAAAACCATAGCCCAATTCTAACCTATAATGAAGGAACCTAAAAAATATATACTCAAACCCAATATGATGGCTAGTGATGTTGAGCCAAGAACTCTACCGAATGCCTTCACAGGAAAAGAGATGATAAAGCCATAAGACCTTCAAAGCTAAGCTTCAAACTCTCCAAAGCTTCCCATAGTGAACTTTTTCAAACCCAGCTTGCCTAGAATAAAAATGCAGCAACATCCTAGCCACATGCCAGCAAAGCAGAAGAATTTTGTCTAACTAGGACTAGAAAGCATGCCTACTCAAAACTAAAGATGATGAGAGAATGACACATAACGGCAGACAAAAGCATTCTAAGCTGAATCACAGGGAATATCAAACCAATTGACAAAGAAAGACGCCCAAAATAGTTCCAAAGCTGAACACCTGCACACCAACCACTTTCACAAAACGTTAGAACTCCTCAAGAGTTATGTAGCAACAGCTGATACAGACAATGGTCTATAACCATAAGAGAGTTCACCCACCATCATCTCATCTTTCCCAATCAATCCATTGGGGTCCTTTCACCTTATACAGCTTTGGGAGGAGTACGGATGAGATTCTGATGCAAGCCAACTTCGTTTAGCAAACCTCAAGGCCAATGTTCTTAAGAGGATTTTTTATACTAGTTCATTGGGTGAAACAGGCAGGGTTCCAGCGCTGCAGTATACTCCATTCACTTTTGTCATATGTGATGAATTGCTTGATATAGATCTTGTACATAATCAGATAGAACAGATTTATGCTTCAAGCGTGATTTTTTTTTTCTTCCAAATTGTAAATTTATGCTTTCCTGTCAAACCTGACTTGCCTGCAGCTACTGCCACCAAATTTGGGTGTGGCCCTTCAACGAGTAGCCACGAATTTTACCTTGTGGCCCTTCAACGAGTAGCCACCAATTTTACCTTCTTCTCTTTTGATAATTCTTTCCACTTGAAGAAGGCTTCCACAATGGCAATCCAATCTAAGAAGTCATCAAGTTGCAATCCACCTGTAAATTTAGTCACATCAACTGGAACTACTCGATCCGACCCTTCTATAGCACAAACCAATTGATCCACTAATGTGGGACTCTCTCTCTCATGGTTATGAAATGAGGTCACATCTTCTGCGAAATCAGAATCCACTATCATGAACAACAATCTCGTTCAGAGTGAGTGTGATGCACCTCCTGCACCAATTCCTTTAATCTCCTTATCAGGTTATCGAATTCTTCTTGTGTAGGTCCGGATCAACCACCTCAGCCACGGCCTTCACGTCCTCCTCTGGCTGCCATTGTGCAAACTTGCAGCACATCTGCACCTTGGGAGAGACAGCCTGCTCTGAAACTAGGCAATGTAAAAGAAACAAACAAAAGGGAAATCCAAAAAAAAAAACTCTGATAATTTGATACAAATAAAAAAAGGAAGCTTATACGCAAAGCTTCTAGAAATACAGGAACTTGAGGGAAACAATCTTAAACTCTGAAGGACAAAAGGAAGAACAAAACTGAACCGAACCCTATTTATAGACTTAAACTTTAAGAAATCCTAATTCTAATATAACTTCAACCCCTTTTAAGCTTTAATATGCACTTTTTCCCTTGAGAAAATAAAATATGACCTGAAAAAGACCCTGAAATGATATCCCAACTTTTAGAAGCTTGGACTTTTCAATTTGATGTCAAAATGACTATTACAACCCTATTTGGAAAGGAATTGAGTGTACTATGACACTGAAACCCGCTACGCCGGTTTTGCCCAATGGGTAGTAACGGTCCGAATGTCAAACAACCTTCTAAATCTTCTCAATAGGCTCTCCATGATACTTGTATAGATCAGAGATAGGAGAGATCTGAAAACCTTCTGGAAGATCATCTTGTATGCATTATGGCCTAAATTCTGGAGCACTCAACATGGGTTAATCTTCGTGTACTTGAACTTGGGTGAACAAGACTAGCTGGTCATGGTGTTTTGACCATAGCACTTGAATGGTAGGTACGATAAATGTGAAATTTGGATTGTTAGAAAGCTCCTTTGATTCTCTATAACATGGGATGGGTTTTGGATGATGATAGGTTAGTTTTCCTAAAGGACGCTGAGCAGGAATAGATAGCAGGAGTTACTTTTGTGTGACAACAAGAGAAAGGAGGCCTTTTCTAATGTTGCAGCTTACCATCATGACACCATACATTTAAAATTAAAACTCTCGCTATGGACAGCAACCCAAGTATGTGATGCTTAATACAAGTCTAAGTGCAATGAGGTAACAAAGCGACAACTTGATGATTCAATGTAGATGGAAAACAACATCTGACATACCAATGTGGCTAAAAGATCAGTTTTTTGTGATTTCACATCGCTATGGACAGCAACCCAAGTATGTGATGCTTAATACAAGTCTAAGTGCAATGAGGTAACAAAACGACAACTTGATGATTCAATGTAGATGGAAAACAACATCTGACATACCAATGTGGCTAAAAGATCAGTTTTTTGTGATTTCACATTTGTTTCTGAACCATTCCATTTGGATATGACACCTTTTAAATCATCCATGCATCATGAGTCTAGGGACTATTATAGGAGATATATCAGGTTGCACACACTTAAGGAAAAAACCTGCAATATATCAGGTTGCACACACTTAAGGAAAAAACCTGCAATTTTCGATCTTCAAAAAACTTGTATGATTCAATTCAATTTGATCAAGGACAATGACCAAGGATGGAAGAAGTGAAAATGTAAACAGCTATGACTTGAGCATTACAGTCAAAGAACTCGTTTACTCAAAACCTCATTGACTCAATACACAACCTATCGTTTTGTCCAAACATGCACAAAAGGCCTGAAGTTAATAGCACCAAATAAAATGCCCCGCAGGATGACTAGACAAGAAAAAGAATCTCAAGCCCTCCTGATTTGGAGGTCATAGCTAAGTTAGGGGCATCTCCTGATTAAGGTTCTATCAACATCATATATGGTTCATTGAGGACTTCTGAAGGCCTCGCACAAACATCAGATTTGGAAAGGGCAGTCAATTCTATTGTCATCATCAAAGGAGGTAAGCTTCAACGAGGCATGCTAAATGAAGACTAGTGAACAAAGATAGGGAGATGCCATCTCATAGTAATTTACCATTGTTGCCATTATCCATTGATATTTATTTTCAAAAACTTGTCAATTAGCGAAAGAAATCCTTTCTATTTCTCATAAACATAGGTAAGTTAATAAAGTAAATAAGACCTCAACCACAAGTAACAGAAAATTCATTTAAAAAAAGAGACCAAGTACAAATATATCAAAGGTTAGCATTGAGATGAAGAGATGACATCTCAATGGCCAGTCACACCATCAACAATGAACTCACCACAGGCCACACCATCTTTCACAAGAGCATCCTCAATCACATTTTAGCACCTATGTATGTATGAATGAGTAAGAGATTGCTACAAGATGCGCAAAGGTCTCAGCAAATGACTAGTGTGATAATATGGCCTATGGATAACGAGTTACTTGGAGACATTCCCCAAGTTTTTAAACTTTTTGATGTCCGAATATAATTGCAGTATGTAAATTTGATTTACTTTAACTTTCAATCTCCAAAGAAAGGTTGCAGCCACGCTACTTGGTTAATGGTTACTATTATCAAAAGCTAAAGAGGGGGAAGAGAAGGAAAAAAGACAAAAGTGCTTGCGCTTTCCCATGTATTGCAAATGTAAGCAATTCAACTCATTTCTCAAAATCACAACATAAAACAGATCACTGTTGTACAGCAAAAGACTGCCACCTTTTTGGCAGCTATAAAATACAAACTAAGTGAAAACTGGACTCACCCTCTTAAAACCAGGTTCCATGCTACCAGAAAGCACAACTACAACAGGTGATTCACTTCCAGTAACACACATCAATCCCTTCCATATTATGAGGGCTGATGTCACAATCAATCCTGAACCATAACAAGATTACAAAATATTAATATCGATTAGGAAAATAATCCAACTTGATTTGATAAACATGCTAATAAGAAAATTATACAAATATCTTGGAAAACATACACCATGTGGACACTAATATAATAAGATCTATTTCCTTCATATTATATTGCAAAAAATGCACCCTTAAAGAACAGAAGAAAACAAAAGTCCAAGATACAAATAACAAAACAAAAAGAATAAATTGTCTTTCCAGTCTAACTAAGAGCTAGGCCCATGAATAGTTTAAATAAAAATTGTTGCTGAGTACAAAATTCCAATTAAGGCTCAATAATAGTCAGAGTGTAGTTAATAGAGCACTAGGGCAGGAAGATCCATAATACAAAACTCCTGTAGGATTGCCAGAAACAACAATGACAAGATGATCGCATCCCAAGGCATTTCAGGACTGCCACGACTCACTTTCCTAGTTTTCGGGCAATAAGGGCAATACCATAAAAACAAAAGGACGGCTTAGGAGGGAATGGTTAGTTTCAATAGAAAGTAAGCAGCACATTCTATGAGATCCTTTGTATAAGTCAAGGGTTTAGAAGCGTAGGGCGCGAAACATACCTAGTTGAATGTCAACAGTTTTTGGTTCAGTAGGTAGAGACCTAAATGCCAAGAAGGATGTTTCAAACCACAGTTACAGGGAGCTCCTATCTGAGGTGGTGCTCCAGCTCCATTCTATGGAGAATGTGTTCCTTGTTTTATTGGGAACTCTTTCTACCAATGTTGTCATCTTCAATTCACCTCCGCTTCAGGTTTTCTTGCCGGGATGAAGTGAATCAAAGAGGTAAACCCCCTTTATATATAGTTTTTTCCTTCATTTTTTTTGTCCAAAAAAGTTCATGCCTCTGCAGCTATATATGTTCCTTCAGGTAAATTATCTAGGAGCATTTTTAGGTTCCCAAATTTTGGGAAGTATACTCCTCAACCTAGAGATCAACCTCAAAAAGAAAAGGATTCATATACAAATATATGTTTCCAAAACAATTAATGTCCTAAGATATAATAAAGACCATTCAATTTTTGCAACATAAGATCTAATTAGTCAGAAACTCAAAATTTAATATTTCTTTTTCTTGGAAATACTCATATAGTGATTTTAAAGTAGATCCCAAAACCTTAGATCAAGAGAATACTTTGAATATTCACCCAATTTTGTTAGATTCACTTCGAAAGCTTATTCGATTTGGCCTGAAAAATGCGTGCTACAAAGCTTCGACCGATTCAGGACAGACTTTAATTTTTAATTAATTTAAAAATATAAAAGAATAATAGAAAATTAAAGGAAATAGTGGACGAATTTCAAAAAAACTTGCACCAATGGGAAGCCCATTATAGTTTTGTTTTTCAAGTGTAAGTAAGTGGTTCATTGACCACTCAAGTATAAATTCAGTTTTTCAAATGTTCAAGTTTACATTTAGGTGATGAACACATTGCAAAGTGGCTCAATGGTCAGGGAATAACACCAAGACCACAAGATTCAGTGTTAGAACTTTGAACAACATGCCCAAAAAATGAGGGAAAAGGATAGAAAGAAATTATAGTAAACCTTAAAAGATTTCAAACCAAAATTCTTAGCCGATAATAAACTAACATCTTTTCTAGAGTCTATGAGTATTTCCAATCCTAGACAGTGAGGAATGCATGTATCCAGTATAGTAGAGACATAGAGACAACCCAACACCAAAAGATAAATTTCAAAAATTTGAAACAAATAATTAGCAGAAAGCAAGACAGCGTCCCACCCTACACAACAAAGAATTGAAAATGTGGCAGACACGAACTCCCCAAATTGAGATTCTCTTTACAAAATAACATGGTAGAAAAAATTGATTAGAATAAATTCAAGTTGAATTAAATAACAACCAACAATTCACCATGATAAGCAGACCCTGACCACAATTGTTTATCTAGATACCCCAAAGGAAATATTGCATTCAGTTTGAGCATCATTCATTAGGATCAAGAAGCGAGCTTTTCATAGCTGCAAACTTCCCCAATGAAAGCAAGCACCAAGGCCAAAAATGACAGGTTAAGAGGATCTTCAGTTCACTCTAACTGCAGTTTGACCCCTTCTCAAACTGTTTATCAAAAAGAAAGCATCCAATCAAACCTTTAAATTTTCCAATAAATATTTCAGCAAGGTTCAATTACCAGGCTCGGGCTCAAGACTCCAGCCCTGCATGAGCCAAGTAACTCGAGCGAGTCCGAGTAGACTTACCTAAGTAGTGTACAAGCCCAAAAAGTGGCTATAAATATAAAAATTCCAAAAGTTCGTTAAAAATAAAAATAGTATTAAAAAACAAAGGAAACTATAAATAACATCCAAAGTCCGAATAACATGGAAAAAAATATAAAATAGATGGATTTAGAAAAAATATATTTATAGTTGGAAATGTTTTAGAAAATTCCAAAAAAAGGGAAAAATATAAAAATAGGGCACATGACAAGACAACTCACAATTTGACAAAATTATCACAATTATATAAAAAATATTTATACATTGATTTTACAAGAATATAATATTATGAATTTTAATATTTTTTATTTTATCCGAGTTTTTACCCAAGTAATCGGCTTGGCAAGGGACTGAGTCCAAGTAATAGTTTTTCAGCCAGTAAAGATGAGGAAAATAACATCTTTTTGTTTGAATTAGAAAATTGTCATACCAAAAAAAAAAGAGAGAAAGAAATAAATGAAATTCCCCATAAAGGGTAAAATGACAACAAGATTGGCTATCATCCATCTCTCTCAAATCTTAGAGAAATGCAGCAGCAAATTGATAGTTATAAACATACAACAAATTAAATCCAAACAACAAAGGTTACAGAACATGGATTAAAGCACATGAATTTCAAACTGCCAAGGAAAAATTTATACCAAAAGAGGATTCTATTATTAATGGGGCAAATCTAGTACGGATGGAGTTTAGAGCACAGCGAAGTTAGAAACTAGGAACCATTAACAAATCGAGAAATAAAAACAAGCATCCAAAAGCCAGTCCACTAAAGAAAAACAGCGAGAAAAAAAGGCAAAACGATCGAGAAAACGCTGACCTAGATTGATAGCCTGTGTCAACAATTGTCTCAGCTGGAGCGAACGAACAGAGTCTCGGGCTGAGCCGATCAAACCCATCCTTCTCACTCTCCCTGCCTCTCCCGAGTCGAAACGCCCAAGCGTTGAAACTTGAAATTAAGGGTTTTTTAACGTCCGTACCGGTTTTTAAAACCGATATAATGAGAAGGCCTAGGCCGTTATTACTCAGAAGAACGGCCCTTAAAACTTTTTATCTTTACAAAGTTTGCCACTGGTCGGATGTTTAGCCATCGGCTTTCCTATTTTAAGATGTCTCATGTTTGAAAAATCATACCGACACTTAAGTTAGGCAAAACAGAATTTTGAGGTACACAAAATGAATTTAAATTTCTTACGTCAATTTCTATCAATTTGTGAAAACTAGACGTCTAAAGGTTTCCTATTTTCGTTTGACTAATCTTTTTATTTAGTATAAAATTTTTACATTTATTACTGGTAGAGAGTGCATGAGTTATAAGTAACTATAATTTCACGTCTCTCATGTTGATTCTTACATCTAGATGCCCATTTTATGTTTTATCAAATCAATTTAATCAATATCTCTATGCTTCACTTGCAATATGAGAATTTAGTGATGCTACAATTTTCTATATTTAATTTTACTTCAAGTATCTTGATGCATATTTTATGTTTTATGAAGTAATTGAATGACTGTCGCGATGTTTCTTAGGCTTATTGACATTTGGGTGCTCTGTATATGGATTTGTTGCAAATTGTAATGATAAGTGGATAATTGGATTCTATAGGAAGACAAGGGCTATGTGTTGGTGGTCTTTGTCTACATATATTTTTAGACATTTCTTTCATTTTATCATTTCTAACATGGGAAGATTGATCCAATTCAATGCGTTGTGGTCCTTGTTTATCTTTGATTCCTTTCCAAGTTTGGTGCAAGCAATTCTTTTTTTTTTCGACACTATCATTTTACACCTTGTCATTCATTCGATATCTTGTGAATTGGGTGACATTCTGTTTAGCAATTGATATTAATGAATAATAATCATGTTTTTAGGATGTATGTATTGCTTACTTCTGTATAATAATTGTAAATACAACTAATTTTGGTTTATACTCGGATTTTTTGCTGTAGGATATCTTTGACTAGGGCTATCTCACAAACTATACAAAGCCATCATTTGAGTCATTACAATGGCCACAGGTGGAGTTAAGTTGTTATGTCATTATGGTGGTTCCTTCAATAGAAGTCTAAATGATGGCGAATGTACTACAAGGATAGGAATGTGAAACCTACATTATGTAATCGAAGGCACTCATTGGAACAGTTAAAAGCGCATAGGGGTCTATTGCGCGTCTTAACCTAAGCAATTTGATAATTATATATCTAGAAAATGATAATTTAGTAGAACTAAATGAAGATGTAGATGTGACATGTATGCTATTGGTAGCTTCCAATATTCATGTATGTGTTGCAAACCAATCATTCGAAGCAACATGTAGGGAACATCAAGCAAATGTAGTGGGCATAGTTCCATCATGCGGTCCATCAACGTGGACCACGTAATACTAATGACATGCGTGTTTATCATTGAGTTTCATTATTTGTAGTTAATGCTTATTAAATCCCTTGGACGTCCCTATTCAGCCCTTCCCATTGAACCAGTGCTAATCCCCATCATCCAAAAATGTAGTACATACATGTGAGGTGGACCCTGAGAGGATGATAAACATCCGAGCATCTATCGGAATATCCCAGCAGTTCAGTTCGCTTGCATCTTCATGTGTACATAGGACAAGAATTCAAGAATGTCAGGCTACTCCGTGATCATTTAGTTGATTTTTGTATATATTAAAAAAATTTCATGAAGTACATGACGAACAACCACGATCATTTAGTTGAGATCTGTATTGGAGAAACAGGCAAATGGAAAGTTCGTTGCTTTAGAGTTTTTACCACAAAGTATTTTAATATGAAAAAGTTAGTAAATGACCACACTTGCATGAGTCCAATGGGAAGAGCTCACCAACCTTGCTAGTGGGTAGCTAGGAAAACTGAACCCCATTTGACCAACCAAATAAATCTAACATCCAAACATGTTATGAGTAACGTTCCACACGAACATTGTGTGAGTTTGTTATATATGCAAGCATGGAGGGGGAAACAGGTTGTGACGATTCATAGGTCACATAAGCAGTCATATATAGAGGTACGTCTATACATGGAGAAGCTACGAGTCACCAATCCCCAAACTGTAGGCTATATACTTACAGATTCTCATTATAGAGATGTTAATTATTCTTTCATTCTTGCCTAAATGGATTGATGTATAATTGTAGGCCTCTTATAGGTTTGGATGAGACGTTTTTGAAGGGAACATTCAAGGGGATCCTGTTGTGCGCTATTGGCGTAAATGCTAATAGTGGCATATTCCTAATAGTATTTTGTGGTAGACAATGATGGCAGAGATACATGGGTATGGTTTCTTAACTACCTGCAGGAGTTGTTCAATACACTCCAAGACCTACCTCGTTTGACGATTATTTAAGACCCACCAAAAGGGCTATTAGGAGCACTACAATGCATCTTCCTAGACTGTTATCCAGAGTTTTACATGCGTCAATTGGCAGAGAACTTCCAAAGGCAATTTAAGAATGTTGTTTCTAAGGGGTATGCGGTTTTTTGTTGTTCTCAATGATCACTAAAAGTTTCCCCGTATCAAACTTCATCTTTTTTTTAATGCAAAAAATGAATCTATCTGGGAAGGGGATTGAGGGCACCCTTGAGCTTCAATTATCGGTCTAGGTTTCCATTCCCATTGACGCATTCGAAAACCGCTAATTATGTCTAAAAATAGGTAGGGGCCCGTATTCTCCACTGATCTACAAATAAAAATAAAAATGAAAAATGAATCCATCTGTTTTGAAAATGATGAATCCATCTCTTTTCCACTAAAGTAGGAGATAGATTCTCCATGAGAATTGTGCAAGAAACACTTTATAAAGAGAGAGAAAAAGTAACAAGGTGTAGAAAGAGAGTGAAAAAGCAGCATTAAGAGAATATGTGAAATCATTGTACATTTTTCATTAACAGATTAATACAAGTAATAGGTGATTTCACAAAAAAAATTTAGGATTTAATATTAAGAAACCGTGTCACGTGCTTTCTTTTGTGGTGCAAAGCTTGTTTTTTATATGCTTTCCTTAGATGGGTGATTAATGTTGATGTGGTTATTTTGCTTTTGGAATATATAGAGGTGTTTTTTTGTATTGGATTTTATTATAATTTGTTTTCACTCGAAACATCTAGCTAAGTTGATTTTTTTAGTCGACACTTTTGGGAACCATATAACGATTACTAGCTGGTTATTTTTAAAAGAAAAAAAAAAAGAGTTTTGAGTTTTTGTTACACATAGATCTAGCTCTTCAAAAATTAGATAGTCTCTATTTAATCTTGAGGCTTTAGTTTTTTTCTAGTATATAGAGTTTATTTCAACAAAAAATTAAATTTTTTTTATCGAGATTATTCTATTGGCGGTAGAGATGACAGCCCCAAAATTTGCAATCTAAAACGAATCCCTAGCATGTATTTGGTCTGTGGGACTCAATGAATAGCATATTCGAATGGGAATAGGAAATATTTTGGCTTTTTGTATTTTAGCAAAATGTTCTGGGGGATAATATTAACATCTGGTATAATTGTTAATTATGTTCATTTTTTATGTTTAGCCTTATTTCTTGAATTCTATAATTTTTTATTTCTTTCTAATGTTGACATTTATTTTGTTGTAATAATAATCGTTGTGCACGCAATCCGTAGGAATCATTACAATTGTAGAAATTCCTACTTTAACTTGATTCTAATAAAGTTAAAAGAGAAATATTTTAGGTAAATTAGAGAAATACTAAAAAAGAATTGACATGATTGGAAGTCTATTTTGTGAAAGGAAAGTGTATATTGTGTATCAGGATAATATAGAAAGTATATATTGTAATCAGTATTTATGGGAATGGTTAACAGAGTATTGGCATTTTATTATAAGTTTGAGCATGGTTTAGGTATCTATGATTTAGTTTCTATTATTATCATTTGTAATTTTTTTATAAAAGACAAGTCTGTATATTCATATGATTAATAGACACAAGGAGTTTCTTTAGAAAAACTTGAGACTCTTCACATGGTATCAGAACAAGATTCATCTTAGTTGTGTCCATTCTTCGTTTCTAAAATATTGTTGCCAAATTTCAAGACGAGTTTGTTGCTCACCCAGTCTATGCAACTTCTGTCGAGTCGTGTTTCGACTCTCTGATCTATCATCTCTGTTGAGTCACGTTTTGACAATCTGATATGTCCTATCTATCGAGTCATATTTCAACTCTCTGATTTGTCTCTTTGTCGAGTCGTGTTTTGACTCTCTGATTTGTCTCTATGCCGAGTCATGTTTGGACTTTCTGATCTGTTTGATCTTTTCCAATAGTTCTCGAAGCTATTTGTTCTCGAGGCTTGTTGATTCACCGCTACTTTTGCTGCTTATTGATTAAGCAATCTGAGTATGCATCTGAAGATCCAACTGCTAGTTTCCGCAATTAGTGTTCAAACTCATTTTCACTCTCTCATAGCATCTTGAGTTTGAGGGGGAATGTGAAAGAAAAGTGTATATTGTGTATCGGGTTAATATAGAAAGCATATATTGCAATTAGTATTTATGGGAAGGGTTGATAGAGTATTTGTACTTTATTATAAGTTTGAGTATGGTTTAGGTATCTATGATTTAGTTTCTATTATTGTTATTTGTAATTTGTTTATAAAAGACAAGTCCGTATATTCATATGATTAATAGACACAAGGAGTTTCTTCAAAGAAACCTGAGACTCTTCACATATTTCAATAAAAAATCTTGTTTAAAGCCTTGTCAAAAAAAAAAAATCTTTTTTTTTTTAAGTTTAGAGAGTGAAGAAAATATTTAGAAAACTAGAGAGATAAAAGTCATGATGAGAATTCAAAACTCACACTCCTATTTATTCTCTCTTAATAGTATAGATATTCATACAATTTAATTTTATGGGGTTACATACTTGTTATTCCTAAAACAAAATCTCTCTCCCATAAGTAGGGGTGGCAATGGGTCAGGTTGGTTCCGGGTTCGGCTGGATCCAAATCCGAACCCGAAG